AGCCTTGAAAAAAATCGAGACTGCGAGACAGTTTTGTGAGAAAAATTGAGACTGCGAGACGCACATAACCGCTAAAAAACGAGACTGCGAGACCCGCGAAATTCGACGAAAATTTTGCGAGATCATGGGCTTTTAAAGAACCATTCGCCACCCCTTCAATTCTCCCTGGCGGATCGTTGAAAGTATCTGTCTATAACCATACGATACGATGGCAGCATGTTCCTTAAGTGCGCACGCAAGATTCTACAAGGAAGAAAACAGCGCGTCAGCTCGAAAAGAGCATGCTCAATTCTCTCTAGGGGATCGTTGAAAGTATCTGTCTATAACCATACGATACGATAGCAACATGTTCCTTGAGTGCGCACGCAAGATTCTACAAGGAAGAAAACAGCGCTTCAGCTCGAAAAGAACATGCTCGATTCTCTCTGGGGGAACATAGAAAGTATCTGTCTATAACCATACGATACGATAGCAACATGTTCCTTAAGTGCGCACGCAAGATTCTTCAAGGAAAAAAAACAGCGCTTCAGCTCGAAAAGAACATGCCCAATTTTCCCTGGCGGATCGTTGAACGTATCTATCGATAACCATACGATGCAATAGCAACATGTTCCTTAAGTGCGGACGCAAGATTCTACAAGGAAAAAAGCAGCGCTTCAGCTTGAAAAGAACATGTTCAATACTTTCTGGAGGATATTTCAGTAATTTATTGAACAACTACTCATACCAAACACGTAGAACTGTTTTGTCTTTCAATAGTACGTTAAGATATTTCTAACAGCTTTGTCTGTCCTCCTTCTTCAATGAATATTGTCTCTCAGGAGAAATGTTCAATTTCTTTAGTGGCGCTAATATACAGTTTTTATCATCTAACTCCATTCATAAGAAGTAAAAATGCGTAGCATGAATATAAATAACACAGTGTTAGCACCCCGTGAAACGACTCTAACAGATCACTCAGTTTTAGTTTTATCGCTTCTTAATATTCGGTTCTCGCAAAGGAAATACAATCCGTTTCAAATTTGTACAGCTATATAAATAATAGCCTCCATCTGGCGCCAAAATATGCTAGGAAACTTTTCCGCGGACATTGTCTGTTCCGGTTCCGAGAAGCGAACAGTTTTCCGAGAGTGTAGCTCAAGGAAAACTGTGAGCTGGGAGAAAAAGATAATGACGTCCAAGGACAAGTATCCGAGCATATTTTCAAAGTCAAGTGGAGGCTATTGT